AAACACAATGCATCACTAACACACACTCAATGCACACACTTACAGACACACACCTTGCATCCCTTATGCATACAAACACAGATTCACACAATGCATCACTTACACACAACCAGAAACACACAATACATCCCTTATACACAAATACACACTGCTTCCACTACACACAAACACACTGCATCACCTGCACAAACTGGTATCCCTATACACTACATGCCATAAGCACACATATTAGATCCTCTACAATAACACATAACACATCCCCTACACACTCCACTCCCCGTGAGCGAACTCATGGGTGGGTGGAACTTATGAGTGGGCCTTATGGGCATACTCACCATCAGGCCCTGGGGCCCAGACCTTGAGCTGTGTAAGGGGCCCCAAAAAATGGAGCTGCTTCCATTCTCCCAGAACATTGAATTTTGTGACCACAGTTGCAAACAGCCTCCAGAGATCCTGTTCTACACCAGACCAGTGGAGCCAAACTGCAGCCCATCATCATCCTCATCTGCTTGTAAGTAGGCAATCTAGTATATTATTAGTGACACTAATCTATAATGTACCTCACATTAAAGGGACACTATAGCTTAATGAAGTGGTTCTGGTGTCTATAGCTGGTCCCTGCAGGCTTTTTAATGTAAACACACACTGTGTGCAGCACTGGCGTTAGTTCATATGGGTGGGGCATTGTGATGTACATGGGGGGGCAGCAAATTTTTATTTTGTCTAGGGCGGCAAAAATCCTTGCACCGGCTCTGATCCTGGGCAGGTGCACCAGTCTACTGGTGACCCACAGGAGGGGAGTGCACTGATTGCACTGCACTCTCCTCCTGTCCAGCCCCATCTTTACCGCAGTGCAAGTGCCCTCTGCCCCTAATTTACAGTGGCTCACACTCACAACAAGCAGTGCCTGGAGCCGTGAAGGAGCGGGTATGGCAAAGAGCTACTGATTAGCATAACATCAATATCCGTTATAAAACCAGGAAAAGGTGGGCATGGATGGTGAACTGATTTGGTGGTGCAATGGGCCACTTGACTGGTTTTGCCCTCCAGGCCTAAGGCTGCCAGCCCTCCCCTGCTCCTGATAGCCCCAATCTGGGGGAACAACATATGTAAAAATCACCCAGATCGGTCCAGGGGTTTAAAAGTTTTATGGAAGTCTTGTTTCTGACCGACAGCACACGAGGCTCCTGCCCAAATTACAGATATAGCAGCAAGTGAGATTTCTGGCATTGTTCCTTATGTGTGCAGCAGCTAAAACTTTCCCAAACCAGAATCTCTTCTTTCTGGTCATTGATGCAAGTAAAACGGGGGATGTAGGGAAGCAGTGCTTAACAATTGAATTCCTTGTGTGGGGTCCAATGGAGAAAACAAAATGGGACAGGAATACTAATATAGTGTAGTATGTCTATAACAGCAGAGGCAGAATATAAGGAAAAATATATTGCACTCACACTTTTCTGGAACTCAAGATCTGCTCCAGATCACAGCATATGGATGGTACAATCCCAGTCTGTGGATGTTGGAATGGTCCTGATTTCCTCTAGTATCGTATTCCTGTGCCAATAATCCACGTGGTGTATTTCAGATGATGCTCCAGTGATATATAAGGAAAATAAAAGCAGGAATAGTGTTCTCTATATTAATAAAACAATTAAAATAAAGAGAAATATACTCACAATGGATGATGGGAGCAATTGCACCTTAGGGGTGTGAATTGTCCTTTAGCAATGCCTTTAAGCCACGGTTGGTGATGGCAACTATTCCGATGGACATATCCATTGCCATCCATTGGCTTAAAAAAGCATTTGGTTTTTATTTGGCCGTTATCACAAAAAAAGGGGTTAGATCAAAATAGATTTTATACTTATTCCACATAGGGGTAAAATTTAAATTATATTGGTTACTGTTTAAAGGACCACTCTAGGCACCCAGACCACTTCAGCTTAATGAAGTGGTCTGGGTGCCAGGTCCAGCTAGGGTTAACCCATTTTTTCATAAACATAGCAGTTTCAGAGAAACTGCTATGTTTATGAATGGGTTAAGCCTTCCCCCTAATCCTCTAGTGGCTGTCTCATTGACAGCCACTAGAGGCGCTTGCGTGCTTCTCACTGTGATTTTCACAGTGAGAGCACGCAAGCGTCCATAGGAAAGCATTGTAAATGCTTTCCTATGCGACGGGCTGAATGCGCGCGCAGCTCTTGCCGCGCGTGCGCATTCAGTCCAGGAGGAGGAGAAGAGGAGGAGAGGAAGCAGAGAGCTCCCCGCCCAGCGCTGGAAAAAGGTTAGTTTTTAACCCTTTCCCCCTTCCAGAGCCGGGCGGGAGGGGGACCCTGAGGGTGGGGGCACCCTCAGGGCACTATAGTGCCAGGAAAACGAATATGTTTTCCTGGCACTATAGTGGTCCTTTAAAAAATTAGCAAAGTCCAAAAATAGAAGACTTTATCCAAATAATATCATCAATGTATCTCGACCAGAGCACCAGGTTGTCCCTCCAGCCATTGCAATGCCATACGAATAACTCCTACCATCTCCTCATGTAGGTGTTGGCATAACTGGGGGCAAACCTGGTGCCCATGGCAATACCCGTGATTTGTAAATAGAAAAATAAATGCTCCAAAATAAATTTGACCGAAATTAAAATGAACTCCCTTAAACCTGATGTTAAGTCCGGGTCTAGGGCCATAAAATGATCAATGGCCTCTAAGCCCAGATCGTGTCTAATGACTGTAAATAGTGAGGACACATCTAATGTCGCCCAACTATAGTCAGGGTCCAATTCAATGTTTTCAATTTCCTGTAAAAAGGACTTGGTGTCCCTTACAAACGATG